CTTCGAAGGATGTGCTAGGATATGCTCATGCTCGAGACTGTATGATCTATAGGAGAACGTAGATAGATGAGATAGCTAGCCTGAACGCCAAATTCACTTTTCCATTTGCACTTGAGCCACCAGTAGACCTTCCCGTCTACACCGTCGGTGTGCTGGAGGATATCCTGCTCCAGTTCCCGATTGACGAGAAGCCCCGTGAGCCATGGAATGAAAACCGAGCGCTATCCATTGCCATGCAGTGGACTGAGTTCGCTATTGCGGCGGAACAGAGTAGGACGCAGACTCATTGTGCCTCAGGGCTGGCCAATGGCACCAAGTCAATTTTGAAGTACTGGCTCATCGAAGGCAAGTACTGGCCCGGGCAGCGGCAGATCGTCTTCATCAAGCTTTTCAGCGACGTCGAGTACCAACCACCTCAGAGCGGTACTTCTCCACCATGTGCTTGCTACATTCAAAGCTTCGGAACCGCCTGACCCCAAAGAGTGTCGAAAAGTTGACTTTTATCAAAGCAACTTTCTACCACTACCCTCTGCACGACGAGGCCAGCGATAATCCATCGCGCATGGAATACCCAGCAGGGGAGTAACGTGGAATAGAATGCAAAACACACAACCTAAGGCCCTGTTCGGGGAACCAACACTGCACAACACTGAACATACTCCAATTGTTGCCGCCATCGCTGGCACGTAATAAGGACCAGCCGAACGAAAGCGAAACGCGGATGGGAGCTCGACGCCACGGCGACACGGCCACGGCTCCATCTACGCCTGCCCGTGCGCGGCTACCACCTCTGACGCTTGCGCAACGTGTGTTCACGGCGCTGGGGAGGCATACATTGCCCTCATCACCGACCGACTTTGTCCTACCTTTTTGCAAGGACCCACTTCTCGCCACATACTTCCACGACCTGGCCAATTCCGTCAGAGCTGCATCCGATTATACCTTGGCCTTTACTCGTGACGAGATCGCTGAAGCCGAGGTGAGCACCGAGTTTGCTCGTTGAGGTTAACCACATGCAACGTCGAATGCAGGCGGTCGAGCTGACGTGGTTGCCTCCGAAATACTCGAAAACTTCCAAGAATGTGTACCTTGTAAAGAAGGCACCGTTGGCCCAAGCTTCTTCGAGCAGTCGGTGCACGTGTTACGGGCTAGACAACCAGCGAGGAAGCTCAACTCGACCTGCGCAGGCGTCGGAGTATTGACAGTGAACGACTCAACTTTGATTGGTCAGATTATCCGTCATCCGGATGTGTTCAGTGTTGTGCACGTCCAGGGTTGGTCAATTTGACACAGGACTCCGAGTCTCGTGTTGAGATTAACACTTAATACAGACCAGCCACTTGTGTAAACAACCTGTCTTGGGATGGCGAAGCGATCGCATGAGAACGCGCCAAGCAGCACAAACAAGAAGGCTCGCCAGGTTAAGCCTACAGCATCTGCTCTGCCACAGGCTACAGAGGTTGGAGCACTGATATCGAGCCACGCAACTGGCACGGCCGGTGTGCGCCAGAAGGCGAAGTGGTGTGTGTCCTCAGTCTCTGCAATACTGCGTCTCCGGTACATCGACATGGCCGATCGTTTCGACGGTGTGAAGAATAATCAAATGAAAAAGGACGCGTACGACCTGCTCGCTGCTGAACTGTCGATTGAGATGGAGCGTGTCTTCGACGCACGCAGTGCTCAAAACAAGGTACAAAATCTGTGTAAAAGAACCTCTTTTTTCGCTATTGTGTCATTGTTGAAAAATAATTTACACATCATATTAGATACATGACCTCAAGCAGCAGTACTTTAAGCCGCAAGTCAAAGCGACAGGCAATGGACTTTTGGTCCGTTCCAAGCCTCAGTACTTCGACATTATGTTTGAGTATTGGGGAAGTATGCCTGGTTTGTCGCGTGACACATCAATGTCGTCTGATGTACCGGCATTGGACGGCAATGCAAACACTGATGTATTGCCGTTGTACGGCAATGATGTCGTCCATGACAGCGATGCCAGCTCGTCGGCATTGGAGAGTGAATGTGATGAGCCCACTGTAAAGAAGTCTCCTTTGTTGGAGCGCAAACTCTTTTCGACGAGACCAAGTGCGGTGAAGGTCCGCAGAAAGCAATAAAGTGCGCGTGCGGACTCGTTGCTCATGTGTCTAGAAGCTGTCGGTGCTGGCCTCCAATCTTTGGGTACTGCGGTTGCGTCAACACGTGCTACACCATTGAACGATGAAGAATAGATCTTGTCGGCTCTCGAAGTTCAATCTGCGACGATTCAGCGTCAATCTGGTCAAATTGAAAGACTTTTGGAATTTTTGATTAATCGAGCTTAATTAAGCATGGTCATGAATCACGATACAGCGAACATGCAATTCTGTCTCTGCGATGTTTGGCAAGCTCTCTTAGGATGGTATTCGTCTCGACAGTGTTC